TTGCCTGGAGAATTCCATGGACAGAGGAGCCTGGAGGGCTATAGTCCGTGGGGTTGCAAACAATCGGACACGATTAAGTGACTAACACATGTATATATATATAAAACCCATGGTCCAGCAATCTCACTCCTGGGAATGGAACAAAGGAGGCTATACAAAAATGTTGGTAGAAGCAAAGATTAACCACCACCACTATCAACAATGGAACACTTATATTATTTTCATGGAGTAAAGTCTCTGCATGCATTGATAGGAATATAATAGTGACAGTATTTCTTACAGTTGGAGCAACTATGTTTTCTGCCCTCATGTGTGCTATACATGAAAGCAGGGACATCATTTCATCATTCAGTCATATGCTTTCACCTAAATAAAAGCTGACCAGTTGAAAGGCTTATCCAGAAAGAAAAGGATGATGCTAGCCTCTATGCTTCTGAAGCTCTCAATCTGCATATGCTTCTAAATTCAGCCATATATAACACAACCACCATTATTCTGTGGGCCCCAAATGTTACATGGTTTGATGCACATTTTAGCAAATTTGTTGATATCAAAGTCTTAGTAATTACCAACTGACACAACACAAGCACAGAAGAAATGACATTTGTTATCCAGTTCCCCCGGCACAGAGGAGCCTGGCAGGCTACAGTCCATGAGGTCGTAAGAGTCGGACATGACTTAGCAACTAAACCACCACCATCTCCCTCCCATGTTACTTAAACATGGTCTAGGGGATCGAGCATTTGTTCAGCCTCTGAAAGGTACCTCTGTGGCTTGGTAACTACCTCTCTGATCCTCATTCTCCTGATCTCCAAAGCAGCTCTAAAATCTACTCCACAGGGTTGTTGTAAAAAAATGCCTGATACAACGTGTTTCACATATTGTTGCTGTTTAGTCACCAAGTCACATCTGACTCTTTGTGATCCATGGACTATAGCCCATCAGGCTCCTCTGTCCATGGGATTTTCTAGGCAAGACTACTAGAGTGGGTTGCCATTTCCTTCTCCATGGGCTCTTCCCAACCAAGGGGTCGAATCTGCATCTCCTGCATTGGCAGGAGGATTCTTTACCACTGTGCCAACAGGGAAGGGTGTCACATAGACTTAGTCAATACCAGTTTACTTTTCCTACAATGTTTGCACAATGTTATGTCTGAATTGTAATTAGAACCATTTACATACGTTTAATATCTAAATAAAAGTTCTGGTAATCCACGAAATACAAATCAAAGGAATCATATGATAGCACTTTTAAACTTCCAAATTAACCAATTTTATTATAAATGATAGTATTCAAATTTGGAGAGGCTGCATTAAGAAAGGCATCACAGATGCTAGTGGTAATGTCAACTGCTAGCATATCTCCAAAAAAAAATTGATAACTTTAGGGTTCTTATTCTTTGATTTAGTAACCTTAGTACCACTAAGTTTTCTCTGAGAAACAGTAAAAATGCAAATATTTATATCCCAAAACATTCATTTTATTTATAATAAAAAATGAAAACAACCGAAGTCCTTATTACTTAGGACTTAGGAGAATGTGTATGAAAAAAATGTGTATGAAATGTGTATAAGAAAAAAATGTGTATGAAAAAAAAAACAACCAAAGAACCATAGAATTGAACAATATGTAACCATTTATGTAATATTTTAGAAGTGTTTAATCACATTAAAAATGGACTATCTTAATATCAGGATATAGAACTACCACATAGAGTAGAATGCTAAATACTTAAAACTGCATAGAGAAAAAGACTAATGAAGAATCTACTTTTTTGTTTCAACTTCTTTAAACAAAATATCTCTATTTTAAACCCAGTTTTGGATTTTTCTTCAATTAATTATCACTTAATAAAAAGGTAATATCAAATTCCTTCCAAAGATTATTAAGTAAAAATTTTATTTCTACAAACTTATCAGTTCTCTCATGTTAGTCAAAAAGTGTAACAGATGTCCCTCTTTTCTTGGGATGCCAGAAATTTTTACACAGAATGTGTATTTATCTCTGTCGTAGAATTCTTTAAAAACTGATTATTGGTAGAATTATTTTCCCCTTATTGAGTTCTGATCATTCTTTTAGTTTTTAACTGTTCATATATGTATGTATGTGTATGTGTGTATATATCTATTTTAGTAATAGATATTATTATAAAATCATAATGTTTTAGTAATAGATATATTTTTTAAAATTTAAGCAACGGTGTTTAAAGTTAAACCAAGATATTACCTGTTTACTAAACTAAGAACTGAAGCAACCCCCCACCAGACCTTCTGAGAGAGAAGGGTCCAAGAGAGGGTCTGAGAGAGAATGCAGAAGTCACCTTGGCTACAGAGCAATGATCTGAAGAGAATTCAGTTACACTACTGGATCTTAATCGGCTCAAAAGGCCCATCTGTTGCCTGGTAACAAATATATGGTGGCTATTTCAACATCATTCAAGCCATGCATAATTCTTACTAAGGAAGCAGAAATATGACTCTAGGACTTGTTGAAGCATGTGGAAACAAATTTAAGTTGCATTTTCATAGTAAGAATTTCCTTTCCAAAAGAGCAATACAAACAATAAAATACCCAGTATGAGTAACTTTGACTTCTTTCTGCACTTAAATTGACCCGGAATAATTAAAATTCACTAGGTAAATTTATTGCCAATTTATGCTGTTTTTCTCAACATGCTTCCACATTCTATAGGACTAGCTCTTTCAGAAAGCCTTGCTGCCTCATAAAACTCCTTCAAAGACAAAACATTTCCTGATTTGGCAGAAATTAAAGCCTAAAAAACCATTCCTTACTATCAGAGGTTCATGGATGATAGTACTATGTGTACCTATTGGGCACAAAACAGTTAAAGCATAAGGCTTAGGCTGAAGCCTGGCAACAGCCCAGGGCCGTGCAGGCAGCCTTGGCACTCTTCGGGTGCTGCGGGAGATGCCGAGTAGGCCATACAGGACACAGCCTTCGAGACAGGTGTGTCTGATGAATGGATGGGGAGGACAGACAGTGTTCATAGCTCCCAACCCATGAAGAACCCGGACCAGCTCTTCTCACCACTAGAACAGAACAGAAAAAGAGGAGGGCAGAGAGGCATCAGGAGGACAAGACATCCTGTCTCATAGAGAAGAGAGGAGGAGAAGCAGAGGCTTCATAGTGTTACGTGTGCTTTGTTAGAAAAATAAATGGAAATATGTAGTTGAATTGTTTCTTGAGGAGTACCATTTCTCTGCATTGTAGGCTTAAAGTCTGAGTATTTTCAGTATGTGCTCTCTCAAAGTAGAATCAAAGTACAGTGCCAGCCCAGCAGAAAATATTGGATCACAAGAAAATTATCACAAGCAGAACAAAGAAATCCTAGAAACAAAGCAAGTAAGCAAGGATTAAGGATGAGATATTTCTAACCACTCACAATGAGGAGAGATTAGTTAATAATAGAGACACTGGGACAGCACAACAAATGAAGCGTATACATTGAATTTACAATTTCCTGAATATACAAGTATATTTATACATACACACACACACATGCAAACACAGGGTGTCTTTTTCAACCAGTTTCTTCTGTCAGTCCTCTGAAGTCTTCTAGGTAAAAAAGCAGGAGCTACAACATGGATTAACTCCAGTAACCTTCATTCACTCCCTTGATGTCAGGGGAGCTAATGGAGTTTACCTAAAGATCAGACAGCATTAAGGTCTCAGACCAGCTAAAAACTTCCCTCAGATTAACACGGTCAAGTGGAGCCAAGAACATGAGTCAACTGCTTTTGTTACATCATATTTTTCTCTCCTCTGAAATATGATCTTCCACATTCAAAGAAATGGCCAAAGAAAAAAAACAATCTGAACAATGACAGATTATCTAAATTCCACTGATGTATTTAAAATGGGAGTTCTCATGCACCATTTGAAAACTTAAAACCACTTATATTTTCAAACTAGTAAAATTCCACACACATCCTAGATAATAATTCTCTGCTTGATTCAAGAAATCTCCTTTCAAAATTACCACTTCTGAAATGTAATTTGCCAACACGGAAAATCAAAGATTTTCCTGAGAGATTTATTGTCCCTCTTCTCAAGAACTCTCACTTCACACCTCCAAACACTTAACAGAATTCTAATAATCACTATGACCTAAATGCATACATACATATAGGTGTTTACACACACATACACGTTATAGCCCTTTCTTCTGTGTGTACAAAATACACTTTCTCTGGGTATTTTAGTTTTTAGTGTTGCAGTTTGTTTTATAACTATTTAAATACCAATATCATAAAGCTCTTCATTCAAAGGTACAATTTCTCAAATGTATGAAATTAATACAATTGTCCTGGAAAAACTGAAATTCCCCTCTTCATAAATACACAATGAAAAACAATTCTTCTAAAAATATGGAATAATTCTTGACATTAGTCACTGAAATCCATATAACTCCTTTTTCTTTCCACAGTTCCTAATAAAGTGCTCTATTATATTTATGCCAGATAACAGCTTAAACAGGATTATAAAAAGTCTAAGTACTATATATTTGAACCAATATTTTCTAGCAGACAATATTATTAATTTACATTAAGCTCTTAACTTTTGTAAAATAACAGATCTCATGTAGCTTATGGATTTGCAATCAATCAAGCTTCTCTTTTTAATGTATGAAAGAAACTGGAAGGATGAGAGAGTGGGAACAGTAAATTACAATTCTTATTCTGTGTTTTCAGGTGAAAGCCATAGGATGTTAATTCATAAAAGAACGGGATAATCATTATTTTAAGTTATCAGCTTATTTCATCTTCTTACTTTTTGGTACATTAAGCCAGAAAAGTATAAATTACATGAATGTTTAATAAGAAAGCACAAGCCTAATAAGAAATTAAAGCTCCGTCAAAGATAACAATATTGGTTTTTATTTACTCAGAAATGTATTTTTTGCTAGGGAAACTGACTACAAAACACTTCTGAATTAACAGCATATACTCACATCCATATGTGACACCACTATTGCTTACCTCAGTCAAGTGTGGCGTAGGATTAAATCCACAGAGATTACACACTTGTTTCTTGCATGCAGTGCAAGTGTTGAAGTTAGCAGGATCCTTAGAACCTATGTTGAGTTCAGTTTTGCAGAGAGGACAGGCTGAGTCTGGTTTGGGGGTTTCTTCCAGTTTGGGGGGAAGAACAACCTTTTGAGGTTCAGCCGTGGAAGGTTTGCTCTCCTTAGTAGGCAAAGACTTCTTTTCAGTTTCTGTTCTTTTTACTGTTGAAACTTGTTCAGCTTTGGGCTCTAGTTTTTCAACTACTGGAGCTTTGGTTTCCTTTTTCACAGGTAGAACCTTTGCAGGTGCTGGCGGTGCTGTGGATTTGGGTGGCCCTTGAGAAGTAGGTGGTTGTGAAGGAGGAGGAACTTGTTTTGTTGGGGCCGCTGGCCCACCCTGTGAATGAGACCCAGGCTGGCCTGCTGTGGAGATCAGACTTGATGCCTGGCTAAAGATGGATGCTCCAAACCCAAAGAGTTTCCCAGTTACTGTTTCTTGAGGAGTTGTGGGCTGTGATTTAGGGGCATCAGTAATACTTCCCAGATTTAGGCTAAAACGTCTCGACTGCTCCTGAGGCTTTGGGGGCTGTGGAGATAGAGGGGCAGTTTGTCCAGTGGGGGGTCGTGGACCCTGGGGTGTCGGTGACCCTTTTGGCATCGGCTTGGTGTCTGGCTTAGAACTCATTTTGGTTTGTGCTTTCTTGGGTTCGTCCTTTTTCTGAATTGGATCAACTTGTTTTTGATCTTTGCCCTCTGGAGTAGGTCCGGGATGTGAAATAATTTTTGTATCTGATGCAGGTCGAGGTATGACTTTAGAATCTACTGGGGTAACTTTTTCTCCTGTTGGTGGAAAACTCTGAGAAGGTTTGGCAGAGTCTGGTTTTAGAGGAGGAGTTGTTTTCTCTTGATCCTGTGATGGTATTTTGGAGCCTGGAATATCCGGTCTTGTTGCTGTTGATGAAGACACAATGTCTGTGGCGGCCTTTCCTGTCTGGGGCTGCTCTGGTTTATCATCAGCCATGGAGGCTCTGGCCGGTTCAGACGGGACGGAAGGCTCTTTGGGAGGGGCTGGCTTGGGTGAGGACTCTGCCTCAGGGGGCTGCTGGGATGTGACTGGGTGGGGACTGTGAAGGGTTGGCTGTCTCACTAGTGGTGGGGGCCTTTTGGACTCAGCTGCCTTGGAGACGTCCTGTTTGGGTGCAGTATCTTTCTTTGGAGAAACCTGCTGTGATGGCGAGGGCGGCTGGCTCACTGCTGATGCAGGAACAGGGGCAGTCTTCGCTTTGGGCTGGGGTGATGATGGAACTGGAGCCAGGTTACCTCCTAGAGCTCTCTGCATCTGACAGTTTAAACAGAGCCACTCTTTCATCTAGAAGTAACATAAAATAACAGTCAGTGAGGCAATAACAAGGTAGAAACAAAAGCATTTTTAAAACTGCATTGGTAGCTTTTGAAATTATGTCTCTCATCATGTAAAACATAAAATCCAGATCAAGTTATTTTAATTTACATATTTATATATTATACATTTTATACTATTTATATATTATATATTTATATGTTATTTATATATTATATATTTATACATAGTTAAGTATACTAAAATATAACTAATGAACCTCAGAGATGTAAGCACTATATTTTAAGCAATATAAAATTATAAATCAACACAGAAAATTTTCTTCTAACATTATCTTTATTCTTCGCCTTTGATTTACTCAAAGTTTGATTACTCCCAGAAATAGAAAACCATGTATGATAAAAGAAAATGATTATTAATATAACATATTAGATTCCAAAATCAGTTATGTTGGATATTTTCTCTGTTGATGGCTCATAAACAGGTTTCAGTTATATAACTCAGAGTATGCTTGTCAAAATTATTAACACATTGCTAATTTCTTAACTTAGCAAGAGAATCACTTCTCCCCTCCAAGGCAACACAATCAAATGTGAGAAAATCTTAACTATTAACCACTGTGGATTAGAAAGAAAACATTCTCTCTTAAGAAAGTAAAAAATAATAGCACCCCCTGAAATTATTATAGATATAGCATGATCAAAAAGAGAAAAGTTACTTTCTTATAATTTTTATAAATGGAAAGAGCAATATATGTATACAATAATACTTATCTGACTGGTGAGATATATATATATATGTGAGGCACACAGTGTGTATGTATATATATGTATATATTTATGTGTGTGTATATACATATCATGTATAGGTATAAATGCATTTCTTCTTTTCCATCACATTTATTGTTAAAAGGAGAAGGTGAAATTGGTACTAATATATTTTAGAAGATAATTTTTAAAATGTATATTCAACATTTATCTATTTTATTCTAAAATAATATATGCTCATTATACACAATTTTAAATATTACCAAAGTAATTTAGAAGGGTAAATTCTCTACGAACTAATCTTTAACTCCCAAAGTAATCAATGTTACCAATTTAGCACTGAAGTTCTTTGTTCAAAATTCTACACGATGGAAAACTAAATATATGGTGCATAAGTACCAAAAAAGTTCTCTAGAATACAAAATTGTAAAGTATTAGGTGGGCAAACAACCTACTCTTACATGAAACAATTCCTTTTTGTAAAAAAAACTGAACTAAGCACTACTAACTTTTAAAAACTATTTTTTTTCACTTGACAGTTTACATTGTTAACATTTAATTAAAAAAAAAAACTCCTGTGTCTTTTTCTTAATCATTAAAATGAATTTAAAATTTAAAGAAAGGATTTGAAATTATTTAAACTCAGGTACCAGTATGCATGTGTGCTAAGTTGCTTCAGTCTTGTCCGACTCTTTGTGACCCTATGGACCATAGCCTGCCAGGCTCCTCTGTCCATGGGATTCTCCAGGCAAGAATACTGTAGTGGGTTGCCGTGCCCTCCTCTAGGCGATCTTCCTGACCCAGGCGTTGAACCTGAATCTCTTATGTCTCCTGCATCTGCAGGTGAGTTCTTTACCACTACCACCACGTGGGAAGCCCAAGGTACCAGTGTAACAGGGCTCATTTTATAATCTCATGGAAAGCAAACTTTTGTTTGGAGAAGGTAGAAGGAGATTTTCAACTCTAACTGACAAGTTACATTTGTTTAAAAATTTGAATCAAAAAGCAAAATTAAAACATTTGTTCCCTACAGGTGAGAGGCACTTGGGTTTTTATTACATTCATTTTCAATATGAGTATTAAGTACTTATGTTTACCCTTTTCTATGTTTGAGGCATTTCACAAGATAAATAACTTTTTAAACATACAGATATTTGAATCCCAAAACATAGTCAACCCACTGTTACTAATGTAAGTTGTGTGACTAAAGGGTTAGCTTGAATGTAAGGAAATCCACTCCATTATGTCCCCTTCTTGATGGAAGGAAATTTCTCCATAAACATGCATCTATCCACTCAATCATCTCTCCTAATGCCAATGTCAGATTCTGCTGTTCTACTATTTACTTTTTCTCATTTGTTCTCAATCTTAAATGATACCATGTCACCTTATAATCATGCAGTCAGACAAGATGAAAGAAGAAAATACAATTAAAATGATAATTCTTTACTTACGAAATAAGTGTGTGATGATGACACTGTCATAAGTCCTCTTTTCCTTTCCTCTGCAAGTTCTCTCCCAACCCTCATCCTTCCAATTTCTTTGGATGTGTTTGGTTTTATCAGTAGAATTTGGAGTCTGTTTGCCATGTGAACACTGGAGCTTTATGCACAGCTGGCCCATAGGCTTTCATTCCATCTCTGAACCACTGCGAAATTAGAACCCTAACATGGCGTATCTAATGTATGATTTATATCACCACTGGGGCACACCTTCTGTACTGTCCTCATTCCAAAAGCAAATGTTTCCTTGTAGTTTATAAACATATGTGACCGTCTCTAAATATGTAGACAAGGAGGGGCTTAGGTAAAGAGGGGTGGAAAACTCAGGTCATTGCTTTATCATAGGGACATAATTCTGCTTTTCTCTGAACACACTGTGTTTTTGAACAGACTGCACTGGTCCAACTTTTGTCCTTTTCATGACCTCATTTTCTTCACTTTGATAAACAACACATAAAAGAAGACATCTGATCCCCCAATGTTCCTCCTCACTGTGAAAATACAGGCTAAAATCATTGTCTATAGCTTTCACAATGTGAAAAGCTTTTTATCCTCTTAGGGTTTTTCAGAAAGAGCCTCTTTTTAATTCTACTGGCCAAATCTGTTGAAAATAGAAATGAGTTTTATCTCAGAACCTAATCTACTACTGAACACAGCAGTGTTTCCAATTGCCTGATTCAGCTGAAAACAACAACAAAAATCTTTCTTATTACACTGAGAAAATGACAAAGTCCACAACACACCCCAACATTAACATCACGAATCACCATCTAATATTCCACAACGCACCAAGGGAGAGTTACAAGTAGTAATAGCACCTTTGCCCTCTCAGTCATCTGAGTTAAAAATCCTGTAATATCTTTATTGCATACTCAGTTACTCTTCAAGAAGGTCTGTGTTGCTTGTGAAAGTTAATTTCCCACTTGTTCATATTTCCAAAGCCACTGTCCCTCATTTGGCCCTTGTCATTTCCAAAATATTTTGTACCTCCACCAAATTTAACCTGTTTGAAACAAACCACCACAGAAGAGGTTGACTCTATCTCCCATCAAAACTTAATACTCTCCAATAGCTGTGAATAGTTAATTTTTTTATTAAAATCTATAGTTTTGTTACTGTTCTTATGTTAGCACTTAACTAATTCTGATACCTCCAGTTCTATGTCTCCCCAAAGACTGTCAGCAACAATTATAAACACTACGTGTATGGTCTGACCTTTTAATCATCATAGATGTTCACAAATATTTTTTAAGCTTGTCAGAATTAAATAAATAAAGGTCTCCATGCTCTTCAAGCTACAGTATTTCTGTGTTTACTCTGTTAATACCCACTCTCAGTCTAGCCTGAATGACAAGCTTCTGCCTTCATTTTCTGGTGGCATGCCATTCTCCCTATGCTACACCTTTGCCATGGACCATATATTCCCATTTTGATTCAAACTAAAGGAACCCCCCCATAACTAACTTACCTGCTAACCATACAAATCTTCAGGGCTTGGAGATAATTACTGTCTTGTTTAACTTCTAAAATTACATTTTTATCTGTAACTATGAGCAGAGACGAACCTGAATTTACTACCATTGTTGCCTCAAACCTCTGATGCCCATTCCACTTGGTACCTGTATCTATAATACAGCTAGTTCCCCGAGTTCTGCATCATTGGGTCTTCATTCCACTGCAACCATGAATGTGGATCTTACAAGACTTTAGTCCTTATCCCTCTTCCACATGCTAAAGAAGTCAGACAATATGCAAGGACAAGCCTAAATGAGAAGAAGCCTTTCACCAACATTTCATAATGACCTCCCAGTTGCCTGACACGCGTAGTACTTACTCTCTCTAATCACCCACATCCATTCAACAAATGGGAGAAAGGCAATAAATAACATCAGGGGAGCCTTCTACTGTATCAGTATTTTCAAAGCCACTGTCTCTGATCTGGCTTTTCATGAACCCTTTTTTTTCTTTTTCTTTCTGCAAGATCCCCCTCAACCTGCCCTCAACCAATTTCTTTGGATGCACTGGTTTTATCAGTAAATTTTTAAGTCTCTTTGCAATGTGAACATTTGAGCTAACCTTCAATATACAGGCACTAAAATGAAAGTATTTGTATTAGATAAGTATGCCATGCTTTATTCCTAATTTCTAGATTTCATATGACAAATTATAAAAAATAGTCATTTCTTCCTTTCCCCACATTGCTTACAGCAAGTGAATAAATGGAATTCAAGAACTGGAGACACAACTGTTTAATGAACTACTCTAATTCAATTAGCTCTATGGAAAGGAACAAAAAAGGCATAAAATTGTTCAGTCTTCTGACTTAATATGCTACATACATAGGGGTACGAAAGGACCCAACCAGGATTTCTGCTGAGGTCACTGTGTATTCTAATGTGAATGCTGATAATTATTAACACACCTCCCTGTTAAATCCAATCTCCCAGGGTTCCCTTTTTCTGAGTCTTTTGGTGAGTTATGTATCAGAGCTGAGTCATGTGAAATACAGTGTTACAACTTCACTGACTAAGGCTTTTGCTGGATAATCATAAAAATATTATTAAATGTTTCAAGAGGTACCACTTGAAAGTTTAATTGTGAATTTCACATAAACTTTCAATTATTGGTGCCACTATCAAAAAAGTGCTGAAAATTGATTCTGATTTTTAAGGGTATGTCTTTAATAATAATTCAAGACAGTTAACACAATACATCTAATAAATAAGGTAAATTGGCAAAT